TAGCCTTAGCCGTTATCACGGTGGCGGTAATATTTTGGTTAATTCCTAAAGTGAGTTTTATTTAGAGCAAAAAGAGTATTTTAAAAGCAGGAAATTTCCAGGGTATTACAAAGTGGTATCTGGGAGCTTTGGTTGGATTTTAATTACCACTAAAGGAAAAATGTTTACTTTTGGTATATATGATTTTAAAGTTTGGTTAAGTGTTTATTTAAATAGTTTTAAAAATATATTTTTAGGGGGTGTGAATTTTTTTTTTAAATAATTAGGGCCAATTTTTTTTTAATTTTATTTAAGGGGTCCGGATTTTTTTTATATTATTTCGGGCAACTAATTTTCGAAAATAAAGTTCAATTTTAAAAATTATGTGTGCAGGTATGCGAAGGAATTAAGGTATGTAATTATGTGTTAATTGCTTTTGAAAGCATGTGGTGAGATTGGGTAGGAAAGAAAGGGCATATAGGCTAGAATTGTACGTCTTCCTATGCGCATATTTTATTTATGCAAGGTGTTTAAGCATGTTGTATGATGATTTGTATTTAAGTGAAAGCATGTTTATGTGAATTAATACAAAATTGTATGATTGAACATCAAACATAAATTTTTGCAAGGAACTATATACTTGAGTTTGAAAAAATATTTCTTTATTGAGTCATGATCCAAAATACCTTGCAGGATTTTGAATTACCTAGTAGATTCACTGACATGGGCACTTTAGCAAAGAAAGACTATGAGAATGTTTGGGATTATATTCGCAGGATACATTTTTACTGTTCTTATAGATCTGATGTGTTTGGAGAACGTCATCTTGACGAACCTGATTATGTCTCTGTCATGATTGTTCATTGCTTACCTTATTACCCTCCCTATGAAGCTATTAAGAGTCACTTTCGTGATTTTCATTTGCTTAATGGTGTTGCTAATTATACCACATATAAAGACTCTAATGGTCAGTGGGGAGCGGATTGGAGATACTTATACCGTTATATTGCTCACAAAGAATTTATTTATCTTAACCCTAAATATGCTGCTTATCCTTCACCTTACCATAACTTTGCTAATCATCAAGTTCCTCAACAAAATGCTTCACAAGCTCCACAACAAAATGGACCTTATTATTCTTCAGAAAACTATGATTCTATGTTTGAGTCAGAACCTGAGCAAACTTATGAGAGTCATGGGGAGCCTATGGAGCAAGATAATGAGTCAGGAGACACCTTATCCAGATTTGTTCCTAGTCCAAATCCTCCAAGCCCTCCAGTAATTATTAATGTAGAATCTAACGAGTCTGACAAAGACCTTAATGAAGAAATGGATCCTGAGAAAGATGATGATGATGGCAATGATGGTGATGATGGGAGTGATCCTGAGTATAATCTAAAGAAGTACAAGGAGATAAAAGACAAGATTGACAATGTCAATATTTGAAGATTTTAGACTAACTTTTCCTTAGTGTTGTAAGCATTTATTTCATTCTTTATTTATAGTTGCTGTTTAATAAAGTATTGCGTATGAGTAATAAGTAGCAAAGCTACATTTAGGATATTCCAAACATTTCTTTTCATTATTGCAATAAAATATCATTTATTCTTTTCTTATTCATTTCAATCTTCAACCAAGCTTATCAAGTGTCATTTCTTACTTTTATTTCTGTTAATGGTACCAAGGGAAATGACTCAAATGTTTTTGTGAAGTTCATACTTAAGTGAAATGGTTGCATGACAACCAATAGAATGTGTTGAATTATTAGTAGGATAAATGAGTAGGTGCTTCTATTATAATTCAAATGATTACTGATGTGCTTGTTTAAAGTAGTTTGGTTGTTTTCTAGTTATAAGAGAGTTGTGACCAACCTAATAGTAGTCATTTCTTTATTTAGAAGTAGTAGGATGGCAGGGAGAAACACCAATAACAATGATCTGAATGATGTAGTAAAGCAACTAGCTGCTGTAGCTCAATAGTTATCTAAAAGGAATAACAATAACAATCCTGACCCTGTTGGGGAGTTGTTTAAGAATATAGCCCAAAGAAAACCTCCTACATACCAGGGAGAACCTGACCCAACTATCCTTGAAAACTGGCTGAGAGAGTTCGATAAGTTGTTTGTGGTAGTAGCATGTTCTAATGAATCCAAAGTGAGTAGTGCAGCTTACTACTTAAGGGGTGAAGTAGATTTGTGGTGGTAGAAAAATGAGCAACTGTGAGAGCATTACCTAAATTTGGATGGAATGTGCTCAAGGAGCAAGTGAGGGATAAGTTATACCCAATGTTCTTGGAAAAGCATAAAGCTGATGAATTCCTAGAACTTACGATGGGGAGTATGTCGGTGACAAAGTATTACACTAAGTTCATCGAGCTGTCTAGGTTCGTTGAAGATACTGTGGCTACTGATAGGCAGAAAGCTAGAAGGTTTGAGAGGGGATTGCCTCTTTCTCTCCAAGGAAAGTTGTCAAGGCAAGTGTTTGATAGCTTGGATGAGTTGTATGGTAGGGCAACTGTAGACACCTGATTGTGTCTCCCCAAAAAACAAACCCAGTGATGAGTACCTTTCACGTCTTTGATTATTGAGTTAGGTGAAGAGTTGAAGAGTCTCGTGAATTTCCTTTTAGCCTTGACCATTTATAACCTTTCCTTAAATGTTTTAATCCAAAATCATTCATTTCGTGTCTTTGAAAATCATTGTGTCCTCTTTATAAAACGTCCAAACCAGTCTATTTTGGTCCATAATCTTAGTCCAATTATTGTGTAGTTGGACGGAGGTTGAAAAGAGCTTTCCAAAGATATATTATAAGCCCAAATCCGACTTATAACGAAGAAGTTATAGTCAAAATACTAAACCAAGCCCAAACAAAGCCTTACTTGTGATCCAATGATAATGTGGAGGGTCCATTAACCTTAATCCCATTCCTAAACCAATTAGGATTTATTTCAAGCTTCTAAAATCTTCTAGAAGGTTGTTTTCAATCCTAAATCCATTAGGATTTATTGTGAGCTTCTAGAATCCTCTAGAAGGTTCTAATTTATCCTGTTTTCGAAAAGATAAAAATTTAGAATTTCACATCGGATAAAACATCTGTTTTTCAATGATCCTAATCCCGGTCAAATTAGAATATGTGAGGAAATTTGATTAACCCAATCCGATTGGAAATCGGATTCCGTGCGAATTTTATCTTTCCAAAACCATTGCTAAGCGACAACACTATCGCGTCGCGACAAGGCTGGCGCGCCGCGATGGAACTTGTTTTACTTTGATTTGATTTCTGACTCTATTCAGATCCTTCGACCGTCTTTTTTCATTATAAATAGAGGTTGTATGACCCCATTTTCATTCACCAACAATCATCATATAATCCCCTCTCTAATACTTTCTCTTTCTCTCTCTTGATTCTTTTCTTAGCCTTAGCCTAAATAAGTCCTAATACACATCCTTGATACTTCCCCAAGCAAACAACATACCTCCCTCACGAGCCTTGAATACTCCCAGCCAATCTCGAAGTTTCCTTCGACCTCGACGTGAAAGGTTGATAGTTATGAGGGTTTGGTACCTAAATCTATATTTCAATTTTTATTTGATTTATTTAATTTATTTGATTTAATCTTTCTTAAAGTTTACTAACGTGCGTATTGTTTTGATAGAAAGAGATACGAGGCATCAAAGTAAGTAATTCTATTACTTAATTGTTCTTTTGATAGAAATCATGCTTAGAATATTATATTAATTCCTAGTATCATGTTAGGATGTTGATCTAGATTCCTAGTATCATGCTTAGGGTGTTAATTAATATTCCTAATATCATGTTTCTAATATCACATTTAGGCTAAAGCTTTGATCTTTATTATTAGTGACATGATAGGATTTGTTATTAATCCGTTTAGTATCATGCCTAGGACCTTCCTAATTTAAACATGCTTATTTTAATGATGTTTTGATTATGATGATGATTGTTGTGTCAATTATACATTGCTTGATTATTCATGATTTATTGTTATTCCTTGATAATGCCTCTTTCTGTAGGATTGAAGGGAATTTATACTTGAAATCACGCCTAATAAGATAGTTAAATAATTTGATTTTAGGTTAATATGATTTTAATTCAAGTGATCACCAATAATAGATTTGATTGTGCATTAATAATCAACCAACGTAGATTAAATAGGTTTAGCGCACATGAATATCATACGAATTAATTAGAGGCGATTCAAGGTGGGTTCAATCTCTTTTAGGTTGGATTCGTACCATCATCCGCGAACATCCAGTCATGGTTCCGGACCACTATGGAGTTAGCGATCTCCGTGATCGTGAATGGGGTGTAACCTTTACACCCGTGAATCGTTTACAAGTTCCTAAAACTTGTTGGCGACTCTTTTATCTCTAGCTTCTTTTCCTTTGGATGCCACCATGCCTAAAAGCATGATCACAGTGGGGCTTAAAGTTGGGTTTGAAAAATTCCCTACAGCAACGCATATACATGCGTTTGAGTTGAAGGAAAAGGCTGAAAGGGCTGAGTTGGAAGCTAGGGAGAAAAGAAAGGAGCCTATGACCAGTTTTGGACCATCTGGGAACCACATTAAACTTTAAGAAGAAAAAATTTAATCACCACCAAGGTAATAACTTCCAGAACAATAGGAACAACCAAGGTGGGCGCAACTTTCCTATGGGAAATAGGAACCAATTTGGAGATCGTAATAAAAGGATATATATACTATTGCAATAGATGTTCTAACAATCACCCAGGAAGAGATTGTGAGGGTTACTTTGTCGCTTGTAACTTGTGCAACAAGCAAGGACACAGGGCACACGAGTGTTTCTCCAAGAATAAAAAGGGTCAAGGAAACAATCAATTTAAGGGTAATGGACAGAACTAGAACCAGCATAAAAAAGGTCAGGGTAGCAATGGGCCGGGAATCAAGTGAACAAGGGGGCGCGTTTTCAGAGTGGGAATAAGAATACCAATGGTGGGAACACACAAGTCAAGGGTGGAACACCAGGGAAGGTTAATGTGATGGGTTTGCGTGAGGCTAACGCATCGAGAGATGTCAATACTGGTACATTTTCTATAAACTTAGTTCTCGTTTTAGTTTTATTTGATTCTGGTGCAACATATTCATTCATTTCTAAGGATATACTTCCAACATTGTTGCATTGTCCAAAAACTGTAGATAACATAGATATTCCTATAGAACTTCCAACTGGGGGTATAGTTCATTGTACTAGGATTTATAAGGATGTTCCTATAAAGATTAAGGGGAAGGAATTTATGTCCAACTTGATCAAATTTGAACTAGGAGACCTTGATATAATTATGGGGATGGATTGGTTATGTCGCTATAATGCTGAGATTCGATGTCAGTCATAGAAAATCCACTTGAAAACGGCTCAAGGAGAGCTCGTAACCCATTGGAGGAATGGAAAGCCCAGGCACACTAAGATCATTTCTGTGATGAATTTGGCAAAGTATATGAAGAAAGGGAATCCAATCTATTTCTATAGTGTGAGAAACTTGGAGTATGAGGAACCATCTAAACCTGAGGATATTAAAGTAGTGAATGAATTTTTAGATGTGTTTCCAGAAGAGATTCCAAGTATGCCACCAAAAAGAACCATAGATTTCACCATAGACTTAGTACGTGGAACAACACCTATCTCTAAGGCACCATACAGGATGACGCCTGCAGAGATGAGTGAGTTGAAGGGTCAATTACAGGACTTGTTGGAGAAGGGGTACAGTGCGTCACCATGGGGAGCTCCTGTATTGTTTGTGAAGAAGAAGGATGGTAGCATGAGGCTATGTATCGATTACAGGGAGTTATATAAGGTAACCATAAAGAATAAATACCCTTTACCTAGGATAGATGACTTGTTTGACCAATTTAAAGGTGCAGTAGTATTTTCTAAGATTGATTTGCGGTCTGGATATCATCAACTATAAATTGCGGAAGAGGACATTCCGAAAACGACATTTAGGACGAGGTATGGTACTATGAGTTTACTGTAATGCTTTTTGGGTTAACAAATGCACTTATAATCTTTATGGACTTGATGAATAGAGTGTTTCAAACTTTCCTAGACCAATTCGTTGTAGTGTTTATTGATGACATTTTGGTTTATTCAAAGAATAAGGAGGACCATGTAGAGCATTTGAGATCAGTGTTAGCTATTTTAAGGATTAACCATTTTTATGCCAAATTCTCGAAGTGTGAGTTTTGGTTGGAGAAGTTAGCATTTTTGGGACATTTTATATCTAAGGAATGAGTGCAAGTAGACCCTTCAAAGATTGAAGCTGTGAAAGGGTGGCCAACACTTAAGAATGTGTCAGATATTTGAAGTTTCCTAGGCCTAGTTGTATATTATAGGCGATTTGTGAAGGACTTTTCAAAGATAGCTAGACCTATGACTTCATTGATGAAGAAGGGATCTAAGTTCATATGGAGTGATAAGTGTGAGGAAGCATTTCAAACCTTAAAAAAGGAGCTTAACAACAGCACTAGTGTTAACCTTACCTGATGGGAGTGGTTCGTATGATGTGTATAGTGATGCACCTAAGAATGGACTTGGATGTGTTTTGATGCAACATGGAAAAGTTATTGCTTATGCATCGAGACAATTTAAGAAACATGAAGTTAACTACCCTACTCATGATCTAGAACTTGCAGCGATAGTGTTTGCGTTGAAAATATGGAGGCATTATTTGTGTGGAGTGAAATGTAGAATATATACCGGTCATAAGAGTTTGAAGTATCTTTTTACACAATCAACATTGAACATGAGGCTACGTAGATGGTTAGAATTCTTCAATGACTATGACTTAGAAATCCAATACCACGAGGGTAAAGCGAATGTAGTTGCAGATGCTTTGAGTCGTAAAGAAACTCATGGGGTGAATGCTTTAGTTGTGGCAGGTGAGCGTTTTAGAGAAATGAGTAATTTAAACCTTGAGGTTGTACCACCATGGAGAGTTGGAAGGAATGCTTAATAAATTGAGTATCCAACCAACGATATTTGATGAGATTAAGGATAACCAAGTAGGATGGGGATGTAAAATTAGATCGCATAAGGGAGAAGATCAAGCAAAGAATCGCGAAAGGCGACTGATTTCAAAATCCATGATGATGGAAGTATATGATTTAAGGGGAGATGGTATTTGCCACAAAAGTGTAAGGAGTTAAAGAAGAAGTTGATGGAAGAAGGACACAATACACCCTATTCAATACACCTAGGAGGAGATAAGCTTTATAAGGACCACAGTGAACTGTGCAACCACAGGGAAGAAGTTGATGGAAAAGGTGTATTAGTGGCCTAGAATAAAGTTAGAAGTGGCAGAGTTTGTAGCTAAATGCCTAACTTGACAAAAGGTTAAGATAGAGCACAAAAGACCACAGGGAACAGTGCAAGCACTCGAGATCCCAGCATAGAAGTGGGATTGCATCTCGATGGATTTTGTCACTAGTTTACCTAAGTTGAAGAATGGAAATGATACCATTTGGGTTGTGGTGGATAGACTTACCAAGTCGGCAATGTTTATACCAATTAAAGAGACTTGGAAAATGGAACAACTTGCGAAGGCTTACATAAAAAATGTTGTGAGACTACATGGAATTCCTAAGGATATCGTTTCAAATAGGGATTCCAGGTTTCTTTCAAAATTGAAGATGAGTATAACATTCCACCCTGCAACGGATGGATAATCTGAGAGAACTATCAAAACCTTGGAAGATATGTTAAGGTCATGTGTTTTACTCCGAGTCGGATTTTGACTCCTTTTCTGATCTTTTCCATTGTTTTTTTTCCTATAAATAGGGTCGTTTTCCTTCGTTTTCAACCACCAACAATCATCATCTAATCTCCCTCTCTAAGCTATAAGCTTATTCTCTCTTTCTTTTCTTAGCCTTAGCCTAAACACGTCACATCATACGACCTTTGCAAGACTTGAATACTCTAAGCCAATCTCGAAGTTACCTTTAACCTCGACGTGAAAGGTTGATATTTCTGAGGGTTTGGTCCCTAACCTATATTTCAATTCTTATTTGATTTATTAGTTTGATTTTAATCTTTCTTAAAGTTACTAACGCGTGTATTGTTTTAATAGAAAGAGATACGAGGTGTTTAGGGTAAAAATACTCTAGACACGTGGCCTAATGGGCTGGTGACACGTGGCGTATCGCCATTAGTCAACAGGGCTCCAATCCCCTGTTGACACGTGTCCTTGGAACCCTACATGGGGGACTTGTCTGTTCCATTATAAATAATGGGACAAACCTCATTAATGAGGCATTCAATAATACAAACACAATTATCGAGCGATATTAAATGTGGAATTCTCCCAATCAGCGAGAAGTACTTTACCTTTTCCGTACTTTTTCCTCCTGTACGTATACTAACTTGATCGACGGAGGCGGAGCTTCTACCAACCGGAGTCTTCGTGATCTTGCAGGTACAGGCATCGGCAGCTCAGTCTCGGAATCGTAACTCTCCCGCAGGACACCTCAAAAAACCCCGAAACACGAGTCATCAAAGTAAATAGATCTACTATCCTTATTCCTTTGATATAGAAATCATGCTTAGGATATTATTTTGATTCCTAGTATCATGTTAGGATGTCTTTTTGATTCCTAGTATCATGTTAGGATGTCTTTATGGTTCCTAGTATCATGTTAGGATGTTGATTTTGATTCCTAGTATCATGTTTAGGGTGTTACTTTAATATTTCTAATATCATGTTGTTTTCTAGTATCATGTTTAGGCTAAAGCTTTGATTTTTATTGTTTAGTGACATGCTAGGGTTAGTTATTAATCCGTTTAGTATCATGCCTAGGATCTGGCTAATGTTATTTTGGAGATATTGATTTATGATGATGATTTGTTGTGTCAATTATAATTATCATGTTGCTTGATTATTTATTATTCATTGTTATTACTTGATCACGCCCTTTCTTGCAGGTTTAAAGGGAATTTATACTTGAATCACGCCTAATAAGATAATTAATAATTTGTTTTAGGGCTTAATATGATTTTAATACAAGTGATCGTCAATGATAGATTTATTTGTGCATTAATAATCAACCAATATAGATTAAACAGGTTTAAGATTAACTTGTTGTATGTATGTTGATCGAAAAGTGTACATGAATATCATAAGAATTAAGTAGAGGCCGATTTAAGGCGGGTTCAATCTCTTTTAGGTTGGATTCGTACCATCATCCCCGAATATCCAGTCATGGTTCCGGACCACTATGGATTTAGCGATCCCCGTGATCGTGAATGGGGTGTAACCTTCACACCCATGAACGGTTTACATGTTCCTAAAACTTGTTGGGACTCTTTTATCTCTAGCTTCTTTCCCTTTGAACGCCACCATGCTTAAATGCATGATCATAGTGAGGCTCAAAGTTGATGTTTGAAATATTCCCTACAATTTTTTGTTAGCGATTTCCATGATCGTGAATGGGGTGTAACCTTCACACCCGTGAACTGTTTACAAGTTCCTAAAACTTGTTGGCGACTCTTTTATCTCTAACTGCTTTCCCTTTGGACGCCTCCATGCTTAGATGCATGATCACATTGGGGCTCAAAGTTGAGTGTTGAAATATTCCCTACGAAAATAATATTCAGTTTTATACTATTTTTGATAGTTTCTAAGCACAACCCGAAATCGATCCGAAATCTAACTCGAACCAGACCTGTTGACCCGAATAGCCACCCCTAGGTATTGGTCAAAACTCTCTAATTAAATAATTATTATTGCTAAGCATGTTGGGCTATTAAACTAAAAAGTTAATTTGTTTCGATATATAAGTAGTAGAGTTGTGATACCTAGTAACGTTAAAGTATTAATCGAAAAACAAGTAATTACTACTCTTAATTATAAAAGTTATTGTTAAGTATTTCCTTTAGTAATACTAATAATATCATCAGTGATATAATATAAAGTGTCGATAGTACTATTAGAAGTTCTAGTAGTATTGTATAAAAGTTTAGAGAAAAAAAAGAGAGAGAGAGAAGAAAAAACCACTTGTGAGATGTATATCCATATCTCACAACACTCCGTTTAGAACACCTCTCCCCAATAAGTATCAAAATGTGTCTCTGTGTGTGTGTGTGTGTGTGTTTTTTTTTTTTTTGGTTGTTGTTGTTGTTTAGAGAGCCACAAGGGCAGGTGATGAGAATCGATTCCAAAATCTCTTGAAATCGAGAGAGGAGCTTTAAGTCTCTAACCACTTGAGTTATCCCTCACTCTTAATATCAAAATAATATACTACCAAACAATTTATTTGACCGGACAACTCAATAACTCATCAATCTTCGTAGGCCCAATATAATTTCCGGGTTATATAGGCCACATACCAAGATTTTCTATCAATCTTTCACCATATATAAATACAACATACTAGTATTCATAATACTAAAGTAAGACAAAATAAATTTAGATAATAATGGAAAATACCACACAAAAATGTAGAGCTCATATTCTAGCTGTGCCTTATCCCAGTCAAGGACATATATGTCCCATGCTACAATTTTGTAGACGTCTAGTCTCCAAAGGTGTTAAAGCATCTCTAGCCATCACTAACCACATCTCCACCACCCTAAACCCTGAACCCGATGACCATGTTAGCCTCGTAACCATCTCTGATGGATACGACGATGGTGGTTTCTCCAGGGCAGATAGTGTTGCAGCCTACCTTGCCAACCTTGAGGTTGCCGGGTCCCAATCCCTAGGGACTCTTATTGAGGAACGTGTTGGTACGTACGACTCTATAAATTGTGTAGTGTATGATGCATTTTTACCGTGGGGTCTAAATGTTGCTAAGAAATATGGACTACTAGGGGCTTCTTTTTTTACCCAAGCATGTGGGGTGAACTATATGTATTATTTGATTTATCATGGGAAGTTTACCATGCCGGTTGCTACACCACCGGTGGATATTCAACGACTGCCTCCGTTAGATGTCGGTGACTTACCGTCGTTTGTGGGCTCACCGGAGTCTTACCCGGCTTACCTAGAGTTGGTTTTGAACCAATATACTAACTTGGGTAATGCTGAGTTTGTGCTTGTCAACACTGTCTATGAGTTGGAGGATGAGGTAATACGTACTAAACTACTAATATTTATGCTTTAGGTTACGTGAATTACTCGTATATTTTTTTTATAAACTAAAACTTACTGGATTTTTACTTGATTTTCAATAACAAAATTATGTGCAATATGATAAAAATATAACTGAAATATCAGCTGATATTTCCAAAATGGGAGGAGAGGAGGGGATGGAGATGTGGGATTTCTACAAGCTGCGCACTAAAGTGTTGATTAAATTATTGGACCTTATTAGACTTTATTAACTTGCTGAAACTCGTTGAAATTTATCTGATCTTATTTGAATTTATTAGACTGGAAACTTATTATTTTTAACGTGAAGAGAGCACACTCTTAATATGAATGTTATTTCTACCTTAAATTTCTTATACTTCGTACTTGCATTACTCATATATAGCCTCTCTAGTTCCATTTTTGAAATATCTCCAATAATCGACAAATAAATTAAGTTGTAATATAACAAGAAACCTAAATACTACATTACGGAGAACTATTTTAGGAAGAACAACAATTTATTTTCTAGCATTTTGTATAATTATACTATATGATGTTTGAGGATCTAATCTCCTTGGATTATTTTATTTATTCTAATGCTAATAAGTTCAAGTTAGTTAGGCCGTTTACGGTTAATATATATATTAACGTAAATTAGTATTTGCGCCAATAAAAGTTATACAAATTCAAAATATAAAAATAATACTCGTACAAAGTATAAAAAAGTTGATTAAATATAGAAACAATTATTGCCTGGGCTTCAAGCTTCAACCATTGCATTATTGAAATTAATTCAACTTTTTTTTTTTTTTGTTTGACGGGCAACATGATATTAAGATTTAAGAATGAACGTTAAAATTTCATCTATCGTATCATTATAAAACATATTAACCATGGATTCAATCCTGACTAGTGAAATAAGTACAGCATTTATTCTACACGTACGTAACTTAATTCGTTGACGACTTGACGTATGACATGTTGTTGGCTTGTTTCCTACTTGCCCAACTGAAACGAAGGTGCATTTATCTTCATCGAATTAAAGTGAAGGCTAGCAATGACCTTTTAACTAGAGGTGTGAAAATCACACCTGACCTAACCCAAAAAATATTTGATTCAGATTTTGATTCGCATGGACATAATAATTTAACATTGACTCTAACTTTAAAAATTGACCCAATCCAACCTAACCTCATCAGTCCCAATCTAAATATCCGAATGGACACCTCTACTTCTAACAATTAGTTTGGAAAGCCCATTATTTTTGTGAGAGAGGTGCACTTTGATTTCTCATGTGATTGTGAGTGACAATTACTTTTCATTTCTCAAATAATCAAATTTATTTTTGTTCCCAGGTAGTTGATGTAATGTCCAAAGAGTATCCATTGCTAACAATTGGACCGACAATTCCATCCTTTTACGTAGACAAACGAATTCCACATGACAAAATATATGGCCTAAGTCTCTACCCCACTGACCCTACTCCTATCACCAATTGGTTAAGCACCAAGTCACCAAAGTCGGTGGTTTACGTCTCATTTGGTAGCATGGCATGTCTAACAAAGGCTCAAACTGAAGAATTAGCATGGGGGTTTAAACAAAGCAAATACCACTTCTTGTGGGTGGTTCGAGCTTCCGAGGAGCACAAGCTTCCAAAGGGCTTTGCTGATGAGGTAGCCGCAAAAGGCCTAATTGGTAGATGGTGTCCACAACTAGAGGTACTCTCTAGTGAGGCAATTGGGTGTTTCTTTACTCATTGTGGTTGGAACTCGACACTAGAGGCATTGGTTATGGGCGTCCCTTTGATAGGGATGCCACTATGGACCGACCAACCTATGGTTGCTAAGTTTGTTGAGGATGTGTGGAAAGTAGGAATAAGAGTGAAGGTCAACAAGGAAGGGCTTGTAAGAAGAGAGGAAATTGTGGAACGTATAATTGAAGTTATGGAAGAAAAAAGGGTGGAGTTCATTGAAAATGTTAAGAAATGGAAGCATATGATGAAAAAAGCAATTTCTAAAGGTGGATCTTCTGATAGGAACATTGATGAGTTCGTATCCAAAATCACAAGGTCGTAATAATGATATGGTTGAGTTAATTTATATTGCTAAAAAATAAGTACTTTCACGGCGCTGTTCACTTCAGCTTAAAAATATAATATTCAGTAGAAATAAGTTTAGTTCAGTAAAAAATAACTTTAATTATGTATAAATAATTTCAGTTCATTAAAATTCATTAAGTTTTATTAAGAAATATAATACAAAATCAATAAAAAAATAATTTCAGTTTAGCAAAAATAGTTTCAATTTAGTAATATAATTTCAGATCAACAAAAATAAGGTGAAGTTAATATGGCCGTATTATTTATAATTTATTATCTTGTCATTAGCAAATATGTTTGTATACGGATTAAGTCACATTAATATATTTCATGTAATGTCAATCTAAATATGTATATATTTCATATGATGATTATTTAAGCTCAAATCTCAATGGTATACAAATTCGATCACTTAATTGTTAATTCTTCTACTTCTTCCGTTCTTTTTTACTTGACTCACTTTGACTTTTACACTATTTACCATCCCTCCTTTGACCGTCTTTTGTGAATAATAGGTAAGGAAAAACATATTCATGTAGGACCTTTTTGAATTCATCTCAATAAGTACTATCATAATATATAACTTTTATAATTTTTACTTATGGAGAATTAAAATATTGATCGTTAAAATTTTTCTTTGACAAATGTGATAAGAGAAACAGGTCAAGTAAAAATGAACCGGGGAAGTATATATTTAGAAATCGGTGTATCTTTTTTAATTTTATGTTTATCAGTGTATATGTACAGATTCAATTGTTAAATATTATGAGGTTTCATGAGCTTTTAATTTCACGTTAATGCGGCTAAAGTAGTTGTTTAACCAGCCAAAAAGCTATGTACATATGTTTGAAATGGATCCAAATTAAAAGTGGTTCACCTTAAACCTTTTAATTTTCAAAATGTTGAATCAAGGAGCTTTTTCAATTAAAGTATTGTGAATTGTGATATGGAAAGACAAATTAGGAATAGATTTTAGAGACGAAGAGAGCAGTAAATAAATCCAACTGAATTATATGGTGATTAGGTTAGTACCATGCGATGTATTTAAAAAAAAAAAGGAAAAGGTAAAGTAATTGTTTAGAGCAAACATTACATGCCAAATTGCCAAGTTTTAAAATCAATTTAACGAAAAATAAGATCATACAATTTCTTGACAATGAACAAGTATTTAATAAAAAAAATAACAGTACAAAATTAGAAAGCCTAATTCTATCTAAACTTGGTGCTCTGAAAGTAATGGACATGAATAATTAGACTAACACTTCTTTTTATTTTTTAGGGCATTTTGTAATAATTGGTGAATGAATTGTTACCAAGCATGCCCAATATTGTGAACGTAGACATGCATTGATGAGATTTATCCAGCAGCTTATAGTAATTAATTTCATTCATTTTTTAGTTTCATAATTAGGGGGTCAAGATTAATATAAAATCAACGCAAATTAAAAATTCAAAATGATATTTGTTTAGGTCAAAATCTGACTGTCAGATAAGACCAGGTTCAATTGGACTACAACTAGATGAATAGATATGCAAATGATGATGCAGGTTCAAGGAATGATAATGAATGATCAGAATGAAATGAACAAAGGGGAAAGGGAGAAAGAAAGACAAAATGATGACGCAGAAAACACCAAGAATAAGGGTAAAAACTACGGATGGCTATAAGTCCACCGATCCACTAGGTTCAGAGTTGAGTACAAGTACAATATAGATTTATGATGAATCTGTAATATCACTAATGATAGTTAATTGCTATTGAATGTAAGGCTTAGAGATTGTATTATGCCCATTTACAATGACTCTTGCCATTTCTATAAGAGAGAAAGCCTCTTGAAGCTCTGCAACGGCTCCCTTCCTGATTCCGTGGAATTCGAGATTAGTCGCTAGATTCTGTTCCGAGTTTCATGCCACGTTCTCCATGCTTTATCCGTTGCGGTTTGACTTGTTCCTTGCTAACAGTTAGTTGTAGCTTAATGGCTCCGATTCTCTAGGCATTCCTCTTGACTTGTTCAACTTGGATCTTCTTAGAATATTCCTTGGAAAGATCTTTATTTAGCTTCCTTTGACTACTTGAAACCAAGTCATTGACTTCGTGGTAACCTGCAAACATATGAACCTGTAGCAATAATTTATGCATAATAGTTTGCCCCAGCTTGTCTCTTAGATGTACCTGGTGCGTCTATGAGGCAAGCTTAATCATTTTTTAAAAGATAAACGTTGATGTGAGTAACGGAAAGATAAAAATTTCCCAAAAGAAAACTCTTTATCTTAGAGTTGTTAAAAAAGATAATATTAAAAAAAAAAAAAATTATCCGTTAGGCCTCAATAAATGCACGCTATATAAGTATCCAGAGTCTTCCCAAGTCAGAGTTTCTAATCAATTTCAAAGCAAAAAAATCTAGGGTTTGATCTTTAAGCGAAAATTGGGGAAAGCGAATCTGCTTCTGCAAAACGCAATCTGAGCTGGGATTTTGCGGTGGTGAATGCCAGTCTTGTGAGTTTGTTGTACCCTGGTATGCCATTGCTCTCATTATGCTTTAATTTTGTTGTTTTCATTGCGTTTCTTTGCAAATTTTAGTTCAATTATGGTTAAAATTAAGCATGTGGCTAAGAAAAGATGTCATAGACATTCGAGTAGGAAGTAGGAACTTAAGAGAAAGCAAAATTTGTGATGGGAAAGGATGATTAAGATAAACCTAGCAATATAACAGAGAAAGAATTGAAGGAATTGAAAAGTGTTGTTGGGTTCCCAAAGGAGGCTATGCTTTTCGCACCTGATTATGATGAAAGGCTGCAATATTGTGGCAAAGATCACATTGTCTTTTATGAATTTCCTTTCAAAAATGTTTTCAAATTTCCTTTTTCTCCATTAGCTAAACAGATCTTAGAAACTTTTGATATGAGTCCGGGTCAATTGATACCTGTTGTTTAGAGGGTTGTTGGTATGATAGATAAAATTACAGCCCATTGGAAGGAGAATGTGAATGTAGCTGATTTTATTAGGTCTTTTGAGCTTAGGAAGACATATTTAGATAGAGTGACGGTTTATAAGAGGTCCTCTACTGATCCTCCTCCGATCATTGGGTATGAAATAACCGATCGAGGATGGAAATCAAGGGATTTTTTTGCTTTAAAGGATTCGTTGGGGGAATCTGCAAGATGGATGAGAAGCGGTTGGCACACAGGTAGCTACTAAGTCTTATGTGAATTGGTTACATGGACTAAGTATATTGACTAAGAGTTTCAATTTTTCTTTTGCAGGTTTGCGCTTGGATGCAATTAAGCCTGAAGACGGTTCACAGGAGGAAGTTGAGGCTTTGTACCGGTTTCTTATTGTCGACAGAACGTTTAGTGGTGTAACTGTTCCACCTTCAGCTGCTAGTACTTCTATGGCTTCAGGTAGACTGATACGGGTCGTTTACCGTATAAAATTAAATATTTATTTTCCTAACTTAACCTTCAAAATTATTAACAACTACTAAAAGGGTAAGCAAGGGTCGGTCCCACGAGGAGACTTTTAATTCTTAAATCAACATTTAACTAAATTACAATATATTACGGAAACTTACATACTATACATTTATTCACATATGTACATAAAATGGAGGGGGTTTGTTTAAGATAATACTAAACTAATAAAACTAATACAAAACTAAACTAATAAACTACTATTGACGACACAACTAACCATTCCATTGAATAGCTCTTACCTGATTTAGTTTATTGGCAATAACATACAATTCACCTTAGTACCACAAATTAAAATTACTAGACGACTCGAACTGTAGAGTCTAAGATAACAAAGACTCCCTATCATCCCTTAATTTTAGTAAATTACGAACTAGGCCAAATTGACTATAAACCATTCTAACTTATACAAATTTGATCGCAACTCATAATTTAGAGGTGGAAGCATTATAAACTAGGATACATCATTAGTCCTAATTATTCTAATCACATAAATGCCTAAAATAATTAGATTGAACTTACTCTCTAATCTAAATAAAACCATAATCGCAGATCTCATATAAATTAGGTGTCACTTGACTATATGATTTAAACTAAGCCAAACCATATAGATAACAATAATCAACAACCATACACACACTAGTAACATGTATAATCGCAATTTAATCAATGAATTAAAAGCAAGTTCAAATAATAATTAAACGAAACTAAAAAATGACTTAAATTAAAATCAAATGTAATACCAATAATCCCATCAAGTTTTTAATCTAATTATCAAAATAATTTAAACAAGAAGTAATATGAACAATAAAGTTAAGAAGAAGACTTATGAATTATACTCCCAAGAACTGTGAATAAACCCGGCTTCGACCCCAAATTCACCGTCGTTCTTGTTCTACCTTGGATTCGAGACTAAGCTTCCCTCCAACGGATATCTTCTCTTCACCAATTGCCCAATTCACGAACTCACTTAAATTACTTTGTAGTTGGTATATTTCACCTAGGTTGTGTGTTTTTGAGATAATTGTTTTGGAGTTTTTATAGCCAAAAACAGCCACCGATTTTTGGATTCGGGAGGATAAACTTTTGAAATAGGATAAGAATTCATCACTTTCCTCGAATTTCGGATGTGTTGAAGAAGGATTTTGAGCTTGAAGAAGATAAACATGGAGTTGAAATATGTTGTTTCGGAGCTTCGGTTTTAACGAAATTTCATCTTTGTTTGCTGGTTGTTGCTGTAGCTTGTTGCTTTCTTCAGGAAGTCACGTGCCCCTTTTGTTTCTATTTCTTTTCCTTTTTTTTTTTTTTTTTTTTTTTTTTTTTTTTTTTTTTTTTTTTTTTTTACTTTGCAAGTATCTTGCTTCCTTCTTCATATATTTTGATGATAGCAAATGATTCTTTGAATAGCAACATAAATGGGCTTTACTTTCCTCTTGCTTTCCTACCAAAAACACACAACATAAAATTAAGTATCAATTATTATAAAAATAACTATAAAATAAAATAATGAATAAAATAAAATCTAAAATAATAAAAGTAAATAAAATCATAAAATAACCAATATAAAGCGGCCATTGGACTAATATTATGGACTAAAAATATAGTATATTATGCACTAATCATAGACTCTTTGTACTTAGCTGTTTCTTGGTAACTTTGCACTGAATATGAAATTCATTGTGTCTTGGTGCATTAGGCAGAGGTCCTTGCATGTGCGAGGAAAAGAAGAAAGGGTGATTCTAAGGATAAGTCAGGCGAAGCATCTTTTCAAGTGATGGAAGACGGCCCTTCCAAGACGTTGACTGATACAAGCATGCAGGTTCCTCCTAAGAGACACCGCTTAACCAGGTCTAACGCTCCTACGGCTTCGGTTATCTTGATGGACACTTATGATGTCAGTTTTCGAATTGACTTTCTAGCTGATGAGGACTAATAATGAGATTTGGCCAGCTGCTGGGAAGCTTTTGTTTCCAGCTGCTAAGAAGCACCTGGCCAAGCTAGATGTTCCTAGTACTCTGGCAGATGGGGCTCAGCTGATTTTTCAAGTTTATGGGTTTTATTTGATATGTAGATGATACTTTTGGCTTGGTATGTTACTAATAGGAATTTTCGTGAAACAAGTTCTTTAGAATGTTTTGTCTTCTAAGAGTTATGTGGAAGACACCACGAGGAAGCTGAAGAGGGCTGGTAGTGCCAAGAAGGACCTATAGTCTCGGAAAGATGCAGCTGACAAGAAGGTGGTAGAGCTTACAACAGCCTTGGAACAGCAGAAGGAGTTCAAGGAAAGGCATGAAAAAGAAGGATGAGGAAGTGAATCTTCTTTCTGATGGGTGGTGCTTCTGGAAGAGGAAGCCAAGGATATTGAAGCTGATGTAACTCTGAAGCCCAAGGATCATTTGGCTAATGGGTTCCCGCTCAAGAGGTATGATGATGAGAAAGGGAAGAAGAAGCTGCAGCAGATGGCCTGGTGGATGACTATCTGCTTGTTGGCAACATTAAGGACCTGGTATCTGAGGAACCTAAGGGTGATGATGTTGATGCTGAAAAGCCTGCTGCTGAATCTTTGCTAGGTCACAACGAAGAACACCCAGTTGCAGGTGACGGTGGTGAAAAAGATGGACCTAAGGCTTAGCTCTTTGTTGCTTATGTTTTCTTTGGTATTAGAACATTGATTTTGTCTTTTGAACTTGTGTTTTACTTTGCTTATGGGAGCAAAGGTTTTTATTTGTTAGCTTTTCTTGTGACCTTGAATGTTTGATGCTAGGTTCTTTTGAATAAATTAGACTTTGGCTTTACTTTCATTGCACTGTGCCTTTGTTTTTGCTCTAAATGTCTCTGGTTTTCACTTTGAATGTCTTTGTTACCTAGCGCTTTGAACCTTAGTTCGTTGGTAACTTTGGCAGGTTATAAATGTACCTGTATCACAAGGGTTAAAGGTGGCGCCAACGACCCTCCGATGCCTAAGTCAATACAATTTCTGATAGAATAATTGAAAATAAATTGGCAAAGTTTGAGATTACTTGGTTGATTCTTCGTCTTTGTTTCCTTAGTCTCCTGATTGTACCTAAAATTTAGGTTGTACTTGGAATTCAGGTTGTCTCTTTGAATTTGCAAAAATAATAGGTTAAAGATAACCGTTGGCGTTGCCGCCAACGACCCTCTGATGCTTAAGTTAGTACTGATCTGATGGAGGCAAAACCAAACTGAAAAACTATAAATAATGATAACTTAGAAATAACTTGGAAGTAACCTAGAAATAGCTTAGAAATAACTCAGAAATGGTAAGCTTTCAAATGCGTTGTGTTCCAGCTTCTGGGTACCAGCTTACATTCTGGTGTGAATAACTACCTTGTCAATTTGGTATGGACCTTCCCAATTTGCCCCCAACTTACCTACGTTGAGCTCTCTGGTGTTCTGTAATACCTTTCTTAGTACCCAGTCTCCTGTTTTGAACATTTTTGCCTTCACATTCTTGTTGAAGCTTCTTGCCAACATCTGTTGATATGCAGTCATCCTTATGTATGCCAAGTCTCTCTGCTCTTCGATTGTATCTAGGTCATGAGACAGCTCGTTGTTTTGCTCTGGGGTTAGCAGGCCATATCTGGCTGTTGGAGTGATGACTTCTGCAAGTAGTACAGGTTCGCACCCGTATACCAGGGAAAAGGGCACTACAACAAATTGACCTTTGTGCCACGAGAAAAATCGTGGCACAAGTTTAAAATTCCCGTGGCTAAGTCTAAAAAGGATGTCAAGGCTAATTTTGAATTTTATGCCATGGGTATTCACGTGGCAAACAAATTCTTTTGCCACGAATACTAACGAGGCTAACAACTAATTTGCCACAAATTATACTATGGCTAATTAATTTGGGCCACAAATATTACTGTTGCTAATATGCTTGTTTGTCACAAATGTTACAGTGGCAAATAATACCACAAATACTATCGTGGCTAAAAAAGTTGTTTGTCACGAATTTTTACTGTGGCTACCATATTTACTATCGATGATCTTAATTGTGGGCTCGTGGCCTGTCAGCACGTGGCTAAAAAATTCAAATGACATTTTTCGGTCAAATAAGTCACATTTGATATTTTTTTTTTGAGACCAATATATAAATTTCATAACACATAATAAATTTGGAGAAATAGATTTTCAAATTGATGTTTAATATCCATACAAATAAAAATATTTGAAATTAGTATGATTCATTACTATTCACATACACGCACGAAAAAAAAAAAGTTATGCCCTCTAATCCTTCTACTAAAGTAAAATAAAAAAATATTTACATTATATGTAATTTGATAAAAATAAATAGTAGTATATTTTATGCTTTGCAGTCTCCTTTTTACCTACAAGAATGAAAAGCAAAAAGAATTAGTTACAAATATAAAAGCCTAATAAACTATAAATTATATAAAAAAAAATATATATATAACCAACATAGCCCAGCTGTAATCAACCTTGCACAAGAAAGAAATGCACATTTGACTCATAAATCGGAACTAAACAATGTAAATTACACGACAAACTGATAAAATAAACACATATTTTGAAGTACAGATTGTGCATAAAACTTCTCAAATAAAGCATTAGAATCATTCCAAATGAGTCCTCTGATTCTAGCAACCTTGACCCTCTTAAGCAGTTAAGCATACACTTCATTTCATTGCCTACCTGCACACTACTCCCCTCCTCGCCTGCCTCCCCTTACTTGCACACTGCCCCCTCCCCTTGTGGCACACCTGCCCTCTCCCTGCCTACACACCTTTCCCCTGCTTGCACACTTAACTCATCCCCAAACTAAATAGCAGCACAAACAGATTCTACACAAAAATATAATCAAAGTAATTACTTTTTACAAAAATCGAATTAAGCTACCATACAAAATTATTAAAATTAAACAACACGAATCTGGGAATGAGCTACTATACGATGTTGAAGCAGAAAAATCGCAAAAATAAAATCGAAATTGCCGAAAACAATTCTATTCAAGTATAGCAACTACAATCAACATTGATTCATACATTAATTAAAACACTAAATATAAGAAAAACGAAGAATAAATTCATGTTTAACTGATCTAACCTTGAAATTTTGTCGAGGAATTGATCTTGCGAGCGTTGGTTGAACTGGGAATCAGGGATCGTTCGAACGGTTTCTAATCTTTAGGAAACAAGGTTTCTGAATTTTATAATATTTTTTTACGGAAAACAAGTTGTTTCGAGGGCAAATTTGTGGTTTTTTCTAATTTTTTTTACTAAATTGGCGGCTAATGACAGTGAGTTAAGCGTCTAATCAATTTTAGGATTTGTCATTTGTGTGATGTTATTGTTTTCGTTTAATTAGCGGCCTAAACAGTTGTTGTACTTTTTTTTTTTTTTTTTTTTTTTTTTTTTTTTTAATCTCTCTCTCTTATACTTTTATACAAGTAGTTTTGAGCTTATAATGTAACATGAAATATTATACGATACAAAATAAGCTCAAATAGTACTTTGTCCATTTTTAGAAGAACGGGCTAACAGGGTCAGCTATCCAGCTAACTTTCAAAATTAAATACCGTTGCTGAAGTATACCTGATCCCATTGATAACGAGTGGGTCCAAATAATTCGATCGAATTGAAGCTATAGCGTCATCGTTTGCGAGAATCGAAATATCCGCAGATGAAGAGATATCAAAGGGGCTTCTTACTTTGTAATTGAAGGATTTTATTTATTTATATAGGTCCAATTAATAGTATTTTTTTCTTAATTTTCGTTTCATAATTTGTAATTGAAGGATTTTTTTATTTGTATATTATTCTATATGATATTATCGACTTTAGAGCAGATTTTAACTCGCAGTCATATACGAACCTGAGAGACTTCGTCGGTTGGTATCGCTATCGAAATTCAAGTAGGACAAATTAACTATCAGTTCATATATAACTTGGAGGAACTATCTAGAAAGAATTGCTAAAAGGTTTGATTGATATAAAAAAACGGAAAGATTTGTTTTGACATGGATCTTTACATAGAAATGAAAGAATCCGGCGTTATCAATGAACAAAATATTGCAGAGTCAAAGGTGGCTTTAGTCTACGAGCAAATGAATGAACCGCCAGGGGCGGGTATGAGAGTTGGGTTGACGAGGGAGAAGTGTTGCAACAAAAGGAGTATTTCGCAATTCACATGAAACCGATTCATATCATTCATGGGTGTGGCTAACTCCCCATGAGGTAGCTAGGTTCAGCAACTACCCCGATCGAATTATTTGGACGGGGGATTCACTGCAAATACTAGCTTGGCTCATTATTGCCGAGATAATGGTCTAAAATTAGCTCCGCTTGTCTAGGGCTCGATCTTGGTACGAGTCCATGAAAAAGATTCAACAAAAGACGACAAAGTATCAATATAATGAGAAAAGGCCCATTTAATTATTTTTTATAATTAGAATTTTAATACTCTGTACTTGTATTCTGGAATGATTAATTTGAAATTTTGGAAAATTATTATACAATTATAATTGTAAATAATCAAATTTCATCTTTTTTTTGCCAAAAAAAAATACTCCGTACTAACCAATTGTAATTGTATGTAGAATTTACCATTCTTTTTTTTTTTCTGTTTTTTTTAAGGGTATAATTTACCATTCTACATACTCATCAATTCTAATATACTTATAAATTGATTAAAAATACTATTAATTGTAATCATTGTATGTAATTTTATAGAATTTTTTTTATATAATAAATGTATCTTGTGATTAAATTTAATTGTATACCCTTCGTATTTTAATAAGTGTTATAGTTTGACCGGCACATAGTTTTAGGCATTTAATTGAATTAAATAAAATAAGAGATAAGTGGATTAGTTGGAGTATTAAAAAATATAAAAGAAAGATAGTGTGGTTAATAATTAATTAAAAAGTAATGATTGTGAGAGGAAAGACATAATTAAAAAGTAGTAGTGGGTTTAGGTGGGGACCATGAGAGGAGAGAGATATAATATTTAAATGTGATTTTTTGCCAAAAAGAAAAAGAAATGTAACACTTATTACAACACAGCTGGATTTGGTAAGTGTAACACTTATTAAAACATGGAGGGAGTATATTTTTCCATGAACACATAATAATCTCATTAAATTCTTGAAAACATTAGTCTTTCCTTAAAATGAATGTTATCGGTTTAGGTTAATATATGTATGCATGCTACAAAAATAAATTTTAACGTGGCACAACTATTTCAATGTCACAGTGAAAAAATTACCCTTGGTGAATTTTGTCACATAAATAAGATTAGTCGTAGCATAAGTGTAAGTTTGCAACGGGAACATATTCACCGGCATAAGTGTTTATTTGCCACAGGAGAAAATTAATAGTCGTGGCACTAGTTTCAATTTGCCACGAATATTTTTCTCCCGTGGCATAATATTTTGATGGAGTTTTAAGTTTCTAACTTAACTATATTTTCCCGTGGTAAGCTCAAATTATGCCACGAATTTTGTATTCCCGTGGCATGATTCGTGGGGCAAGAGTCAATTTGTTGTTGTGGGGGTTTGACCATTAGCTATACTGGGTGTAGTTCTGTTGGCCCATAGGATTCTAGGTAGTTCTTCTTCCCACTTTCCTTTCTTTGCTTTCAACTTTTTCTTCAAAGAACCAATGATTATTTTGTTACTAGATTCAGCTTGTCCATTCGCTTGTGGGTATCTGGGTGTTGAAATAATGAGGGTGTTGTTCCACTTATCACATAAACGTCTGGTTGGGGCACATGTGAATTGAGATCCATTGTCACAGATGATTTCGGATGGCAC